TTACTCGGTATTTGCAGTACTTTCGCGATGGCGGACCCTCTTGTATGATGATGGTTGATGATGGTGATGATGATGATGCATGCATGAAGAAGGATGATGATGGATGATGATGATCGATGATGGTGGTGGATTGAGGCGCCAGGTGGTTGGTAGGGGGCGGGAGTGCCTACTACTATTACTACTACTACTACTATTACTACTACTACTACTACTACTACTACTACCATGAGGACTAAGAAAGAGGGTCAAAGAGCTCAGAAGTTGAAGAGAGAGAGCCCAACAGGCGCGCCGGGGCGTGGTCGAGCTCGCTGGCACTTTGGGAGCCGAAGCCGAGCTGGAGGTTTCCAAGACAGGCCGAAACAAAGATTAGCATTAGTTACAGTTATGCTTAAAATAGTTGTTGTTATTACAGTACTTATTATTGATGATACTCATAAGTACAATAATTGGTACTATTGTAGTATGTAGATTGATCATGATTAAAATCATTCCTATTTTTCATTGCGATTAGTGGCTACTATTATCATTATTACAAATAGTATTATTAAGGTTGAGGGTCTTGCTCTCGCTTGGCTGGGCGAGTCATCGTTTTTGCTTGCCTTCTTTTGCTGCTTCGGAGCGGGTGCTGTAGTGGGCTCTCGGTGTCGCGAGTAGTGAGTAGACTGAGTAGACGTGATGCGGCACTCTGTGCAGCAACTTGCCTGGAAAGGCAATGTTCAGGATCATTGCAGCCGTGTCTTTTGGATTTCAGCGAGGTCATGTCACCGCCCTAGTCCCCCCGTCAAAGGCTCACATGGCTGTGCCTCGTGGGGTCTCGTGTTTGGTGGGGGTCAAGCATATGATCCTTGCATAGACAAACGCATGGGACATGCCAGGGGTTGCAAGACCAGAAAGATAACATCGGAGCCGTGGATGCCCTCGCGGAGCGGGTTCGGGGCAACCCTTGGGTAACAAACCTTTGAATTCCGGATGCCTATGAGCGCCATGCAGAGAATCCGGCAACCTAAGCACGGTTTTTCAAGGCCAAACTCAAGGGGTAGGGACCCCAAAAAGTTCTTTGAAACCCGAATCCCCGATGTAGCCTCCCAACTTTCTTGTCCCCATACAGCTGGTCGCTTGGCTTCCTGGTAGGTGAGCTGGTGTACCTCTTTCCCCGGGACGTGAAGGGGGCCTTGTCGAAGGTTTCCTCCGCTGCGGCAGCTCGAGAGGCGGGGATTGGACCTCTGGTGATTCTTTTGATTATTGGCGGTATTTTTGTGTCAATATCAAAATAATGTTATTATTACTGACAATAACAATCACAGTATTGCTGTTATTCTGTTATTATTTTCATTTTTTGGTGTGATGATGATGATCATAATGATATCAGTTCTGCTTTTGCTATTGTTTTTATCAGTATTATTAATACCTTTGCTCTTTTCAGAATTGTTATTAGTCTTATCGCATAAATGAGCACTGTCCTGAGGGCATCTTCGTTGGGGCATTTTCTGTGAGGCATGGAACAAAGCGAAGCCTACTGCTACCCGGCCACGGTTTAGGAATGGTATCTGCTCATCTCTGTGTGCATTTCTTGGCTTACATTTGGATCAGGTTTTCACAGCTCTCCGCGCTGCTTTCGGTGTGGCCCTATTTGCCTCCATTGCTGTGATATACACGGCGATCATTGCCATCAGCACTTCCAGCTCCGACAGGGACCATGCGAGCTGCTTTCGAAGGGCATCGCCCTCCAGTTTGCATGCCTGGCATAGGCACCGTCCCCCGCTGCAGGACCGAGATGACCGACGAAGGGGTGGAGACTCTTTTGGAGGTGGTGGTTTCGGTTTTGGCCCGACTTTGTATTATGGCCCGTCGAGACTTGGAGGCAACATGTACAGTATTGCAAGGTGTCTTTTCCTCACCGCAGCATTATATAGGTTTAGAGATTTCTTGTCACTCTCATCAGGCTAGTGGACTGCGGGTGACTTGCCGTACGTCCATCACTCCTCCTTGCTTTTAGGATCACTCGCCTTCGAGCTGAGGGATGCCATCCATCACATTCACTCATCAGCTTTGATTGGGGAATGTCGGTCGCCCAAGGCCATTTGATGTGATTTTCTACAGACCGTACTATTCGTATTCTTACGGCGGCGATATGTACGATGAGTGCCTCGGTGAGAAGCAGAGTCCGCAACTCGTGTTGACATACACGATGTGCCTTAAATGTATGGCGCCATCTTGATGATGTCTCAGTTGGCAGTCGCGGAGTTCTCCGCCAAAAATGGGCTTCCTCGAATCCGTTTACAGCAGCTTGACTTCCACTTCGTTTCGTGTACGGCTGCTTAATGTAAATTTGCAGCGCCTGCAGGCTTTGTTTTTGGTGATGGAGATCCAAACGCTGGCCGCACCTTGCCAAGAATCTTCCAAGCCACGCATGTCAACGTGAGTAAGTACCGTACGAGTTTCGAAGGAGACGAGACTCAGTTTTTGCGTTTCCACTTGCAGGCTTGGATCGGCAGCTGGCTGCTGTGGCAGCCCTCGCCCGGCGGAACGGCGGAGTTTTGACAGCTGAGCAGATGGCACCTTTGCGCCTGGGACGGGTTTAGGAGTCCGAGAGCGAGAGGACATGAATGTTGTGGGAGAAGCTGCCAGGCTGGACCCTCCCGGATACAAGTCACCGGAGAGCACGTACAACGCCGCCGAGCTGCACCAGTAGTATTGGTTTTGAGGCCTCGAGGCGGCAAGGCTTCTCGCGCACACACAGGAGAAAACACGTCGAAAGAAGCTCGGATTGTGCTGCGATGCCGAGGTGAATGAGAGCTGGGTGCTGCCAGCAGTCTCGAGGTTAAATGGAAGGCCCGAAGTGGCAGCTGATGGACAAATCGCTTGGCTCTCAGGAAGGAGAAAGCACGGTGCTGGGTAATGATGGCTCATGGGTGGCCTTGTCACGAAGGTCTATGTCTTCGATGACCTACGGACCACTGCAGGCGACAACTAGTTGAGTGTGTGTCAGGTGCTATGGTACTGCTTCGTCGATTAGATGCTTTATGCGTGTTGACGACACTAATGTGGAGCCTTGAGCACTTCCGCAAGCATAGTTACACAGCCCTCCAAATGAAGAAGCAAGGCTGAGCTACCCTTGCTTTGCCTGAACTGGTGAGAATGCTCTGCGAGTATTGACCAGTCGTGTGGTTCTGAGCAAAGGTGAAACTTCTTCGCGCAAGCCACCAGCAATCTTGGAGGCAAATAAGCTGCACCCGGAGAAAGGTCATCATGGGCACCATTGTGAAAAAACCAGCCTTTCTGTCCTGCTTTGAGGAGGAAGAGGTTCCTTTCTCTTTAGCGGACGAGGGCAATCTGACGCTCGTTGTCTTGCTCGGCCACTTGGTGTTTCTCTTGAGTTATATGCCATCCAGCAGTCTGAGTCAGCTAGCAAAAAGTGCCGGCTCGACATTGCTTCCTGTTTTGCACAGATGTTACCATGGGTAGCCTAGGTGTCGCAAACCTCGTCGGAGCTGACCCTTGGTGGCACCACCGGGCAGAGCGGGTCTGCAGCACTCAACTCGAGATCATGGTATGAACCTTGCGAATCCCAAGCTGTTTCAAGGCTTACCTCGGTGCGCAGTTCGCAGGCCTTGCAGGATACAAGCTCACAGGCCAGATGGGTTGTGAGTGCTGAAGCATCGGACCTCAAACAGATTGTGACCAAGGCTTCCTGGCTGCAGTGAAAGGCTTCTACCCAGGATTGCTAGCTTATGCCGCGGGCACCTCAGAATCTGCGAGAGGGTTCGTCGCAATGCTTGCTGTTTTTTGCCGAAGCAGCAGACACTGCAGACCAGTCAAAGTCCGTTTCTTTTGGTCTGAGGTAGGGTTTTTCGCTGCGCCGGCCGTGCGCTTCTTCGGCCTCGGTAAAACGAACGGAAGCTGGACAGCAGTTGGGATGGAGTTCATGTTTCTTGTGGTCCGTTTCAGGCTCTCCATTTCGCTGAACCCCCACGTGCCCGATGCCCATTCCCCCGTGCTTGTGCCAGAGGTTAATGCGATAACGAGTAAATTGCGTGCGGGCTCTTCGGGAACAGCACTGCCCGTTCACTTCGGTTTAACGCTTCCGTTTGCCGCAGCTGCTGGCCTGTCGCCATGTAAGGTGAGATCCAACAGAGGAACCAAAACCGCAAAGATTGGTTGAATGTCCTTCGGTCCGGTTCTGTGGACGGAAAGCTTGCCCAGGCGACGAGCTCAGTATGAAAGTATCAACGGAGGGAAAAGACAGTGCCAAACGCGCATGCGGGATGACACCTCGAGGCAAGGAGCCTTCGACAGGGCATGCGGCAGATTGGCAGAGAGGACTCTGTCTACAGCACCGCGAAGGACGACGCACCGTGCTGTGCCCGATCTTGGAAGCAACAGTACCGGCACCGGAAATGAGAGTTTGCAAGAGGAGGCACAGAGCCAATCCAGTCGGAGCGATCTAGAAGATTTTGATCGGCGTCTGCAAAGTTGAGGCAGGACGCGGTATTTCTGTGAATGGTATGGTCGTGTGTGCTGTCAGCATTCTTGAAGACTTGAAGGCTTCTCTGGGCCAACGGGACGGTTCGAAAGGACTTCTCTGGGCTGAAGCCTGGTACAGAATTGGGCCCGCGTGGCCGATGCGGCCTTTTGTCGTCGAATTTTAGAGGACTTGCAATTGATATGCAGAAGTCAGGCAGTACAGTCTAGCGATTTGCAGGGCCTGGCAATGGAAAGTCCGGAGAGATGTATTGTTTGTATCGTCCATGAATGCCTCATCCTTCAGTTGTGGCAGCTCCGGAGTTTCTTTTCTTGCACATGGGCCTCAACTTTTTCAAGAGCTTCTGACGCCAGCATCTCTTCTATGTAGCCGTCCTCACAAGCAGGAGGACATCCAGGGATTCCAACCTTGGCACACCAGGGAGAAAGGCAGATGGAATGAACTTCGTAGCTGTGCGTCCCAGCCTGGCAGCTGGATGTGCTCAGATGCGCCTGATGTCGGTTCCACATGTGCTTGCTGCTGCAGAGCGAGTTTTGTCAAGTTTCGCGTCAAGCCATGATCAGGGGTTGAAGCGCAGGCTTCACCCTTTTCGTGAAGATTGCTTTTCGGGGTAATGCGAAGCAGTGCCAGGAGCCAGGCGTAATGCAAACTCCAGCCCAGCCGGAGCTTCAGGATCGGCAGGCTTCCTGCAATGCTATTCATGTTTGTGACCATCCGTGACGATTCTTTCGGCAGGCAGACAGGCCCCAGAGTATGCAGAGGTGGGTGGGTGGGGCACGAACATGCTTCATCAATGCACTGGGCAGACAGCATAGGTCGAAATCTAAGCAAGATGCCAAGCCGTGAGATGCCCATCAGATGCAGGTGATGATCAAGGCGCACACCCGTCGGACCACAGATTTGTGTACTTTGTGCGCATTCGTTTTGCCGCCTGGCTGCCACCGTTTTTCATGTCGCAGCATCGCGAAGTCATGCAGGAGCGGGACGAGCAAGCTTGTTATGCTTCTATCTTATTTTTCGGAGCCTTGCAAACAAGCTGGTGGTCCGACAAATGCCAATGCCTGCACACACTGAGCTACCTCCTCGTTCAGGTATTGGGCTGGCATGTTTCGGCCTCAGAATGTGTGGGCGCGGACGGGCTTTGTGGGGTCGGTGAGAGAGCTAGTTTGGCCTGGGAGCAAAGTTCGACGGTTGGCGTAGATGGGTCGGGGTTGGGGCCTCGAAACTGTGTGCACTTACGAGGCTTCAAGATTCGCTAGCCAGGTGGTGTGGCAAATTTTTGGTCAGGTACGCGGCTTCTGAAATTTGATGCAAGGCAGCTTGAAGTGAATTTCGGGCCATCGAGTCCATGAGCAGTATGTTGTTGGAACATGTCGCTCCTGCTGCCTTTCAAAGTCTTGATCAAAAGTCGCTGAAGGTGTGGGATCACTTATTCCGCCCTCATCACCGGCGACCCGCGGAGGCTGTACCACAGCCACCTCCTCAGTGGATGCTGCATTGCTCCGACTTCGGACAGACTCGCCGTTGAGTGGACAGAGGTTTCGATTACGGCGGCCATCTCTGCGGCGTCGACCCAGGCGTGGAAGACAAGGGGTCCAAGGCCTAGCGATTTCACTTCCGGTTGGACTCCGTTGGACGCTCCTCAGAGCCTTTCCCTCTCAGGCTCCTCTACTGGCCCCGTCCGAAAGATCCCGAATATGCGATCTGCATCGGGCAGTGCCCAGACAATCGTCAGGTGCCTGGGGAGCGTATGCCGTATGGTGGTCAGCATGTAGCTTCCGATTCCTGGGTAGTAAAAGCAGCTTGTCATTTTGGACTCTTGATGACTCTTGGCTGATGTATGCCGTGATGATCGCAATGAACACCCCCTGGCCGAGCCTTTGGAGGGAGTGGTTGGGAGGCAGTTTCGAGGTGTTGTCTTGATATTTATCCAGGACACGGTGACTGCCCTGGAAGAGGACGGTCGGCGACAGAAACTTGTGACATGCTCGTGATTTCTGATGCGCTTGAGTGTTGTGTAGACCTTAGTGACAGCCTGTTCGCTCAGGAGAACATGTCTAACTTTATATTTAGACCTAAAGACCGGCACAGCAGACGGTGCTGCTGATGCTTCAGCCGAACTTCAGCTCACACTTTGCAGGAAGCTGCTGTCAACCATGGTGCAAGCGGAGTTGAAACCGCGACCATCACTTCCAAGCAAGTTCGAATTCCAACATACCCTTCCAGGCGGGTTGGGGTGGGTTCAAGCTCAGACTTTCGCAAGGTGAGAGCTAGCGAATTCAAGATTAATCTTCTGAGTGCATGGCCAGGGAAATCGGCGGCCGCTTCTGCTTGCCGCTTCCGCTGGCTGAGACTCTGGATGGCAACGATGGTGATGGCGTCACCAGGCTGCCGAGTGCCGCCGGGTCGACGGCTTTGCAGTGGCCACGGCTTCCTGCCGATACTTTGCAGCTTTCCTCGCAGACTTGTTTTAGCTTCACCTTGTTGGGGCCGTGCAAGCTGCAGTTCTGTATTTATCTCCGCTCAGGCCCTTTCCAACAACCAGCTCGGCTGCCCCAGCGCCAGCGACGACCAGTCATCCCTTGGTGCCACCCGGCGAACCTTTCCACCAGCCCGCGTGGGGTTACCCCACAGCACCCCCTGAGCAGCCCCGCACGGCCCGACCACGAATTGCTGACTTCCCAGGGCTCCTGCCACCAAGGGTGCAGTGGCCTCGCCCCAGCCGGCCCAACCCCGGAGAGCATGGTCCTGAAGCCCCAGAGATCCAGACCTCAACTCATCTGCCGACGAAAGCCGGCAAGACTGCACCCGTCAAGGCTGCTGGACTCGAGACTGGGGCTGGAAATGTCACGAAGCCCCAGAAGCACCGGCACAAAAAGGGTAAGGAAGACGAAGACAAGGACGAGGACAACGACGAGGACAACGATCGAAGGAAGGACGAGGGCCAGCGGCCGGAAGGGGACAAGGGTAGGATTGGGCACAAGATGGATGACACGCCGCCCACAACAGAACCCGCCTCAATGGAGGACAGGGAAAGTCAGAAAGACACAGTGACTCACCAGCCGGCTGCGACAAAACCCAAAAGCGGTAAGGTGGATCATGAGTTGAAGAAGCCCGTGCCCAAGACCCAGCAGCAGAACAGCACTGAAATCAAAACGGATGCCGCCCGGACAGCGGAGAACGTTTCTTCGCGCCATCACGAGCCAGGCAGAAGGACTCACTTTCATTCTGCGACGGCATGTGACGACCCTGTGTGTGAAATTACTTTATGCTGAGTCTGGTTCCTGGAGGATGTGGGAGGAGACTGCAAGGCCCTGCTGTCCAGTTGCCCCAAAGTTCTCCTGTTTTTTGTCTTTCGAGTCCACGCCCAGGAGCTCTGAAACCGCCGAGTTGGCCCGACTGTTGTCTCAGGCGGGTGCCTCGCCGTTCGTGGCCTGGTGCTTCTAAGTGCCTTCGGCCGCACGCTGAAAGCAGGATGACGAGGGCCTCGGTGCGTGGCTCCGCAAGACTGCCTGGGACATTGCTGGCGCCTGGCCTGTTGTCCTGCCCTTGGTGCCGAGAACCGGGCTGCGGGACACTGCGTCACTGTGTACAGAAGGAGAGGCTGTCTGTTGCCCTTGCAGTTGGTCGTGCTCGGTGTGGTCTTCGCATCTCTGCAGGGTAAGACCGGCTCAATTGCGGCTCATTGCTGCAGGGCCTTCTTATGTTTGTCGCGGTACGCACAAATTTGTAGCCTAGCTTCTGCCAGGCACTGGTTATTTGGCATTCATGCGATTCTGCGTTGATGCCTTGGTTATCAGCCGGGTTCACATCTTCCAGCCCTGAGCGAAGCCTGAGGCTTGTCCTTTCACATTTGGCGTCCTCTTCCTGCTCATACTTGCAACAAGCGGTATGTCAGTGCAGCTGGGCGCAGTCAAAGATTCGCAGACGGCCGATTTCTTCGCGTGTAAGACCACCGGAAGTCGAGGTATTCCTTGGCAATTATACGCACGGACGAGGACTCGTGTAGGGTTCTATGAGGTGCCGGCCTGATTCTAGAAAGCTTGAGACTGGCAGGAGGCAGCAGAGCAGCTGTGCCTCGATCAGCTTCAGGGAGCCCGGAAGGTAGAAGCCAAGGTGAAAGCTCGGTATGACACCAGCAGGCTACTGCAAAATCGATGGCGAATTCTCCAGACACCCCCGGCACGATAAAGCCCAGTCAGAAGTCACCCCAGTCCGCGGCACCACGGAAGAGGTGTCTGCTGCATTCTGTTCTCGCTTCGAAAAGCAAGAATGACGCCGAAGCTCAAAGTTGAGGAGCTACGTAAAGTCAAAAGCTCGCAAGAATTCATGGGCATACTGAGGTTTGGGCGATACTCGGAAACTTGCCTGCATTGCGTACCCTTTTCATGCAGCACTTTCGGAGCTGCGGTCTAGATATGTCCAGATGATGCACAACAGCTTCTTCGTATTGGCTGCGTTGGGTCGATGCGCTTCTCTGATGGAATGTCTACTGAGGATCACCCAGTCCTGCTCAGTCAAGTTGTTGGCTGGTCATGTGCAGGAGATTGCATTTCAACATACGTTGAAGGGCATGCAGGGCTGCAAGAACTGCAAAGGAGTTTGTGTCTTGCTCCTGGGCATCTCCATTGCCATCTTTCCCACAATGCGCCGGGCTATCGGCTGCATTGATGGAGCTGCGCAGGCTATTTGGGAGGAGCCTCCGTGGCATGACAGCAGTAAAGAAGCCTCGCGATGGCGCGTGCGGAACCTAAGCTTGTCGCGAAGCTTGGCAACAGCGCACTGATGTAAGGCTGCTGCGGTTGCCCGCCGTAGAGATGATGATCAAGACGCTGTTCTCCGTCAGCTGGTGCCCTGCATGACTTGCTAGAACTGGAGGCAATTCAGCATATTCAGCACAGGCTGATCTTCTTCAGCTTCGTCATCACAAGCGGCCAAATTGCTCCCCATCTGAACGATTGAAGACTCTTGTCCCTGTGTTTTCTGAGGATTCGAGTGTTGCGTGTTGCCGCAGGACCCGCCGACCTTGGACGTCAATGGAACGCCGGTGTACACGCGTATTCGGAGGTTCAGCTCAACGCCTCTGCAGAAGCTCTGCCCTCTGTGATAGACCGCGACAGTCGCAGGCAATGTTGTGTTCAGAGCTTCTCAGGTTTTACGTCTTTGTCTATGTTGGAGGCTCTACGACACCGGGTATCATTTTCTGTTTGCTGATGGTGCTGCGCAGGATACCTTTGGACACTGGAAACCCTTAGCCTGGTTTTCCACTTCGCAGCCCGGACCTTAGGACCAATGAGCCGCGATCCTGCAAGAAGCCTTCCGGCTGCGTGTTTCAGACAAAAAGTGGACATCATTTGCAGGAGCTGCACAATTGCTTCACGTTATAAGTTATAGGTCAGATATCCGGGGGTGGTTCCTTCGCGGCACATGACCCAGACATGAGCAAGTTCGCCAGTTTGAGGCCAGCTTCTATGCTGTAAGCTGGTACTTCACGCCATGCAGGCGTGCCGACCATAGAAGTGCATTCAGACAGAGTGGGAGATCGAGGGTTTCTCGCACGGCAGGGCCGAGGGCAACAAAGTGGTGGAGACGTGGCTGTGGCGAACTGGAATTGCATATGCTTTGAGGCACCACGGTGAGACCCAAGTAGACTTTGCGTCTTCAAAAACCTGAAGGTACCACCTGGGCAGTATGGCCATGGGTGGTTTTATGACGATGGTCTTCCGCCTCTGGGGCCAAGTCTTCTGTTCCTGTGTGGCTTGGCTAAAAACAAGAGCGCCAAGAGCTGAGGCCCAATCCACGCGCCGATGGCTGTCTTGGCAAAGCTCGAGCCTCGCAGAACCTCGCAGAACACCCCTACCTCACGGCACCTTTCAGCCATCAGCAGCAGCTTTGCCGAAGAACAACTCAGGCTGGCTAAAGCTGGTGAGAGGCCGTCAAAATTCACCAGCAATAGCTAGTGCAGCCTCGACCCAGCGTCGCCTGTAAACGAGCTCTCTTTCGCATGCCGGACGTTGATCAGAAGGCATGCGCCGGATGGCATCATGGCCAATTGCCTGGGCTGCGTTTGGTGCTTTGAAGAAGTTGTTCGGCACTTAGTCTACGGATGTCTCCCATAGGTGCAGTAGGCTGACGGAAGCCCGAGGTTCGCTTTGTCAACAAGAACGCCATTATTTGCATGGCCACAGCCGAAGGGTGGTGCTTGTCGTGTGCGCTTTCGGTCTCGGGGGGCCTGGAGCCGAGGTGTTGAACTCAAGCAACTACTTCGTCTCTGCCACAGCAGCAGTCCCTGCCTGAACTGTCATGAGTGTTGCAAAAAGCCTGTCATACCTGCTTGGTGGTGATCGGAACAGGTCCAGACTTTGGCGAAAGCCGGAAAGGACGTCTCACCTTAAGCACCGATGGTCGAATGAGACGATCATCCGAGGCGGTTGCATCTTGTCGTCTTGTTGCATGCAAGGACATTGCATTCCTGAATGGATTTACTGGCAGCCTGTGCCCTTGGCATGCATACATGGTGCAAAAGACTCGCAAGTGTCGTGGTCTCAGGTCTTCACAGTCTTGGCATGCTTGCCACAGCATGCCTGACGGCTTACCTGGCACTGCTTGCTTTGGGCGTCCTGCGGCTGCAATCGTGCTGTGTGGGGGGTACGAAGAGCTGTCTGCGAGACTGAGCAGCTCAGGGATTGGATATTTTTGCAGACCAAAGCTCGCCGCTGTTCGCTTTGGCCTGAGAGTGAAGTCGCCCAAGGAATGCTCCACGGTTCAGCTGAATGCAAGGTGGAAAACCGGATTGCAGTTATTGTCGCTGTTGGTCTTCTTTCGGGTGCTGCCGGATGCCCAGTGGAACGGCCCCGTCTTGCAGACAGCATTGATCGCAAGTCGCGAGGAGACTGTCACTGGCCGGTGCAATGCTTTTGGCTTCCTGAGGTGGCATCAAGCTTCATGAGCCTTTTCGATGTCGTGTTCGACACGCTGATCTTCTGTTGGCTGGCAGACCTGCAGCCGACCGAAACCGTTTTCGTTCCCCGGCTCAATCCCTAACAAAGTCAGAGCCAATATTCCGTCCGTGCTTGGCCATGCACTCTCAACAGGTTCCGCACAGCTTGCTGAACGTTTGGGCCTGCAGTTTTTGAAGTCCAGGATGTGTGTTCGGGAACTCACCTGTCTCCCCGAGGCCCTGGGACAGCCGCAGGGCCGAAAGGAGCTTTCCGACGCGGAGATAGATGTGGAGTTCGGTCGGCAACCGGCTGTGGGTCCAGGTGGGGCAGCTGTTCGGGTCATTTTGTTTTCGGCGCTGTCTTCTGCATTCGCCGCTTCTCGTCACCAATGCTAGAGCTGCTAGAAGCTCGCAAGTTGAAGTCTTATCTGTTTCTACACTTTTTTCGGGCTGACCTACTGGCACAAATCGGGATCTCGTCAGTAAGGCATCCAGCGCTTCGTCGCATACACTTCTGAACTTGCACGTGCGACTTTCCCAAACTACGGTTCCAAGACGGTCACGTTTGTTGTTGTTCGCAGAGATGTCTTTTTTCAACACGCAGCCCAACAGCCCCATGGCAGCTATGGAACCCGTAGGAACTACCGGAGCGATGGGGTGCGAACATCTTACCGGGCAGGTGGCAAAGTGCCGCAACAACGAGACACAAGCATATGAAAGACAATCAATTCTAGTCAGTGTAGTCAACCATTACGTTCTAGATTCCGGCTTCCGGCAAACCGTGACCGGCAGTGCAGCTGCCGCATACGGTCGAAGTGACACATGAGTGATCATGAGTGTGTTTAGGGCTGCACGCCTTGTCAGGCTCAGCAGCTGCATCTGTTGGTCAACACCTGAGACCTGAGAGCTTTGTTCTCCAGGCTGCTCTTAGCTGCCTTAGCTTCTGATTCTTCTATCAGTTTCACCTCGAGCCTGAGGCAGCCCATCGCAAGATGGACGAGAAGCAGCAAAGAGGGAAGCAGCGCGAAAAGCTGCTGCAGAGCAGGATGCCCTCCGCAAAGCAGCAGAGCAAGAGGCACTTCGGGAAGCCGCAGAACGTGAAGCATCGCGGAAAGCAAAGCAAGCCCGCGAAGCACAGGAGGCGGAACGTGCCAAATGGCAAAAGCTCCAAGAGGAGGAGGCTGCACGCCAGAAAGCGAAAGAGGAGAAAGCAAAGGAGATCGAGCTAGCAAGAGCTGCTGCGGAGGAGATCCGGAGGGCTCGGCTTGAGGAGGAAGAGAGGAAGCTGCTGTCCTCACAACCTGTGGCTCCCACGCAAGCCCCAGCCATGCCAGCTTCCAAAGAAGTTGCCGACACTCCCGTGGAAGCGGAGCCGGCGGAAGCTGCATCGGCTGCCGAAGCCGAGGAAGCACCGACTAGTGCGACCTCAGCCGTGCCGGAGGCAGCAGCCTCCGAGGCCCCGGCGGGGCCTGATAGGCCCGAAGAAGTCGCAACGGCTGAGGGCAACTCGGCTCCTGTGGGGGCACCGGAGGAGAGAAGCCGCCAGGCCCCCGAACGCCCCGAAGGGGATTCGCTACAGGCAGCAGAGCAGTCAGAGGTTTTCAAGGCCGTGGGCCAAACGGATCCTTTCGCGGCGCCTTCAGAGGCGGAGCGGGAGCTACTTGCTTCTGTCGATGGGAAAATCGATTCCGGCAGGAGCCTTCGACACTGAACTGGGTTGCAGTGGCAGCCCAAGTTGTGGCCAGTCTCGGCCAGATGCTTCCTGGAAGCCTGCAAGCCTTTCCAAGGACTTCGACTCTGCTTCACCCAAAGTCGAGCCCGAAAAGGCTGCTGAGTCTGGTGTTGCCGTGCCGACCTCAGGTAAATTAGCCAGTTGCAGTGTGATTTCAGGTCGCGGTGGGTTGGAGACCGCGCGGTTCCTCCGCCGTAGGTAGCCGCCGTACTGTAGCCGATGCTAAGCTCCGGGTTGAGGAGATGCAGTTCTGCGGGGCGCTTGGCACATGCAAAGCCAGGAGTCCCAATAGGAGTCCCACGCTGAGACCCTGGTGAAATCCCAAGTGCTTTTTGAGGGGATCATGCACTCCTCCCATCAAAGTCGCTCCAAGTCATCCTCGCCTGCTTTCGACTAGCCTTTCTAACCCCGGTCAAAACGTCGACGGCGTGGCGAAAGGTTTTGCCGCGGAGGTGGTCTGGCTGGCACGATGTGATGTTAATGTGAAGTTTCGAGAGCATTGTATCATGTAGTCAAACTTCAAGCCTTCCCGCGCTGGTTTTGGCTTCCAATTGTTTGAATCCCACCAGCACTTTTGAAAGGCATGTTGGTCGTGTTCCTAAGTACATGGGTTGGGCAATGGTCTTAAATCCTGATGACACTTGGCGGAAGCATTCGGATAATGTTTCTCAATTCCGCTCGTATATGAGGGAAAGCATTTTGGTGGTGGTCCTGAACCCTGCCAGTACATCGGGGGAAGCATTCTCGTCGAGGGTTGAAAGAAGGACTTTGGACGGGTTTATAGAAGGTTTGTGGAGGGGTCATACAGGGGTTATAGCAGGGATTATGGAAGCGTTTTTCGAGGTTGTATACAGGAATTTATAGAAGGGGATTTGAAAAAGGGTGGATGGATGGATGGATGGGGGAGTGGGTGGATGGATGGGTTGGTGGGCGGATGAAGGAATGGATGCATCGATGGATGCATGGGTAGTGGGACGCATGGATGTATGGATGAAGCATTAAAAGATGGAGCGAAGTATGGACGGATGAGATGAGATGAGATAACATGATGATTTTCGGTGTTGCCTCGCTGCTGTAAGCGCTTTCGGCACGCTCGTTCTCTAGTGGCCTGGCGTGAACAATGAAGGTGGAGACACCTGCGGCATCGGCAGGCTAGCCTGTGCAGAGCCTAGAGCCTGCGAATCTTACGGGCATACCGGTGGCTCAAGACGGGCTACATCGATTGATTGATTTCGCGCCGGAATTGCCAGCCCAAAGTTGAGGAGGCATGAGTTACATGAAAGTTGGCATGCAAAACTTGCAAACGTGGGCATGGCTGCACTTTGTGCTGCTGGGTGGACAAGACCGCTGATGGTGAGGATGTGCTGTATTTCAGCTCGTCGAATTACAGCATGTCAAGCCGAGAAGTCATGACGGCCACTGTATGTGCGTTCGAACTGATGTTGGCCGCGACACATGGATAAAGAGCCTCCTATCTTCAACAGCTTCAAGCTTCCACACCTCTCCGCATGCCTGGGTGCCTGGCCATGGAGTGCAGATGTCGGGTCCCCAGCCGTACCTCTTGAAGCAGCATGCAGGATTGCAAATGACAGATCACAGCTGCCGAAGACCTTAGGGTACTTCGAAATAGGCACAAAGGGGTGCATAATTCCAAGTTAAGAGCACTAAGAATTCTTTTCAGATTTGGTGTCGCTCGGGCTGCCAAACATTCCGTGACAACTGTTGAAGTGCTGCTGACTGAGTGTGTAAGGCCCCAGGCGCTTCAGCTGGACGAGTGTTGCTACCTGCGCAGAGTGCAATTTTCCACTTGGTGGCCGTCGGCTTCAGGTCGTGGAGCAGCACAGCATGAACGGACACATGGCTAGAGGAATGCTGTCTACGACCGTCTAGTAGTCTAGAGTTCCGTCTGTTTGCAAAAAGCCCAAAAGGAATTGCCTCCCATCTGCAAGCACAACATACAGAAAGTATCGGCCCTAAAAGTGTACAACAGCCAGCTCTAGGGGCAGGGCACTGTAAAGCCAGCGCTGCCTCACCCTGCATGGGTGGCGTGGGGATCTCACAACATCGCGCTTTAGCCTGTTGACATATCCCGGGGTGACATGGCCAGGCTATCCTGTGCAACAGATGCTGCGAGAAGGACATTTGATGACCTTCTTGATGTGGGCTCCCATGTTCTTTTTGGAATCGGTGGAGCAAGGAGTGACTGAGAAACGTGCTGCCAATAGATCGTGTGTGGGAGATCGCTGAAGCGAAGGGCTTTTGCGAAACGACCGTCCAACAGCATCTTAGTGAGTTGCCGTCGGAAGTGGCAAGGATGAGAGAGAGCGCAGCCTGGTAGACGATTCGAACGCCCTGCAGATCTTCGGCCACGAGCTTGCAGTTTTGCATCGTAATCTCACCCCCTCCGGCACCCACGGGCCTAGCTGTCACAGCGGCTTGAAAGTAAAGGCGAAGACTTCCCATCGCTGTCTTTGTCACAGCCCGAGTCGAAACATGAGCCATTGTTGCGTCTCAATGCTTCAGAGTCCACAGTTCCCACGATTCATGCCAGAGGCCACCGATAATACCACAGAGGCGTGGTCTGACAGCTTCTAACTTTTGAGCCATAACTCGGCGTACTCTTGCTCACATGGTCGAAAGTTCCAGTCGTGTTTAGCTGCTAACATGCATCTATGACAGGTCGAGCAAAGACCTAAATCAGTCACTGTCGCCATCGCCGAAATCCAAGAGTTTGGCCTTGACACCCACTTCGCGGACTCCAAGAACACCGCGAACTCCCAAAGTCGAGCAGGCTGGGCAGATAGCACATGCCAGCCTCAGCCGCTTAGCGCTGTGCAGCAATCGAGTTCGGGGGGTTCGGAAAGCAACTTATCGTGTCGCGGCTGTTGCAGAGCTGCGGTTTTCAGGTCTGGCTTGGGCGTCTTTGGGCTGTAGTTGTCATGGCACGGCCTTGGCTTTGAAACCAAGCCTAAGCTGCAGGGAAACATCGAAGACGAAGAAGATGGCGAAGGGGGATCATCTGAGCTGGAGCTGGTGGAGGAGCTGCGCTCCACTGCGTAGACAGTCGAAGGTCCAAGCCATTGGAAGGTGTGTGAACTTGCCAGTTCTGGCCCAGCATAACTTCTCGCAAGGGGCATTTGCTGCGCCCAGTGCTCATGAAATGAGTTGTTCGGGTCCGAAGGGTCCAATCGTCATCGACGAGTACTTCGACTTTTATGACCCTTACACGAAGCGGGCCGAGGCCGACCGCGCCCGGGCCCAAAGGGCACCTCAGAGCTCTTCTGCGGCCGCCAGGTGCTGGCATTGACTGAAGAAGTGAAGCACCAGCGGCCCACTACAGGCTTGGGATTCTGAGCTCTTCGCATGCGGCCCACTAACTGGCGAGGCTTAGCCGTCAAAATTTGAGCCACGAAGCACCGCCGCAACTTCACACCCAGCTACTCCCCCCTGCAAGACATACGTGGCATCGCCGCCAGCTTCCCTTTTTAAAAGCAGTGCCATGGATTCAACAGCATCTGATCCAAAGTGTCGGCTGACATCTTGCAGAACAGAGAGGAAGAAGCCTCCGAAGACTATATAAGTGTGCCCTCACCCTCACCCGGAGAAGCTCATTGGGGCGGAATTTAGATGCCGTCGTGTGGTTGAGAGACTGACGTTAAGCGTCCCCGTGGAGATTCACAGTTGAGCTCTGAATCTGTGCCATGATTCCGCGACTGTTGGCCATGACCAGTGAGCAGCGAATTAGTTGTGACGGTTTGCCGGAAGCTGGCGCGGTCTGATCTGAAAGTAGAACTAACTAGCAACCAGCGACAGCACTTCCGCTGGCTCTCTGCGGCAAGGTTTGGCGCACAAGATTGACATTGGAGACCAATGTTCAGACTGTTCGCCCAGCTCTCACTGTGCTCAGTTGGTTGTAAGGGAAGGTTGGCCGATACAGTGGGAAGAGGGTGTACGGTGTACGGGGGAATGGGACAGAGAGCAGCATGTTTTATCACATCATCTCGCCGCATGAGGCCACTTGACGCCCTGACCCCCAAGACGAGAGCTCGTTGTGAGGTCGAGGCGGGCTTGCGAGGCACTGCAGTGCAATACACCAGGGTGTTGTGCCGCCAGGTCTTGACCAAGTGGGGCGTGCCATCCTCATGGCACTTAAGTCCGCAGTGTTTCCCATGCTCGTCCAGCTGCGTATCCAGACTTTGCAAGTACACAGGAAGAAGCGTGAGTAACACACCTGAAGTCTAGGAGACCGTGTCTGAGAGCCTGAGGTCATAGCAGGCAAGCTGATTTTCTCGCGAGTGCTGACTCTCACCACGATGAGTAGCCGCTTGCCTTCCAAGACCGGCATCCACATAGAGATATGCTGTCACAAAAGTCACATGCCACATTCATTCATCCATGCATATGGGTGTGCAGTCGGGCACATGCGCACGCGCGAACATGCTTGCTTGTCCATTTCGTGCCGGAAGCGAGCGTGCTTGGCCGTGGTTTCGTTTTCGGGTCATCAAGGAAACGGCTTGAGCCCAAAGGCCTAGATCTGCTCCATTGTTCTGTAGCTGGAGATTCGCACCCCTTCAGGCCCCGGTAGAGAATTCAAGGGGCCGCGACAGCTTCGAGTTGTCGGGCCTAGGCCCTCCTTCGATGGTGCATTGACCCGACTCTTTTCCTTGGTGCGCTTCTCACCCTCCCCGTGTCTTACTCACGCATGCTGGGAGAACGTGTTCTCTACATCCCTTCGTTCGATGGACATTGACTTCAAAGCTGTGCAAGGCATCTACGTCATTCGTGCACAGCAGGCCAGGGTGGAAAAGCTGCTCGGCGGCACTTGTCTTCATGCGGCTATCTCCGTTTCAATATGAGTTGGGGAATCGTTTGGGTACGTCACCAGCTGATCTGTGATGACGTCGTTTCTAAGGAACTCGCGAGTGTGGAGGTTGGATTGTCTACCACTTGTCCATGTAGCAAGACCCCGAGCTTCCATTTGCACAGGCGAATCGAAGGAAGAGCGCGAAGGGTAGTCAGTCAGGCCTTCCCGTTTGTTTGAATGGTGACGTCGAGATCATGTTGACAGCATCCAGAATGGAACTTGCCCTCCATTGCTGAAGTTGCTGGCGCTTTGTTGCACTGAAGCACGACTCAGTCGTAGGCACAGTCGGTGAACCACTACGAAGATCTACGAAGCATCGCAGCCAGAACCCGTCTACAAATTCATGAAACGAGCGTTGTTTCTGCTGGTGTCTCCTGCGCTTGGGATCCCGCCCCTAAACCCTAAACCCCGGCTCAAGGACCTTTTTCGGATCAAGTGCCGCAAACCGTCCCCTTTCCTTCGCCCCTCTCTGGCGCCATGGCCGACGCCGCCGAAGCGGGAAAGCCGCAGAGCCAGGCTGAGTTCATCCTCTACACGACCCTCAGGATCATCGGCGTACTCGCCTCAATCTATATGTTCTTGATGGGACTGGACATGATGGGCAGCTCTTTCCTTGTGCTTGGAGGCAAAGGTGCAGGAGACCTCTTCACGATTGTGGACAACCCTGTGACAGGTTTGATGGTGGGCATTATTGCGACCGTGCTGGTTCAGTCCTCCTCCACGAGCACCTCGATCGTGGTTGGCCTGGTGGGGGCCGGTCAGGTGTCCGTGAAATATGCGGCCGCTTTGCTGGACTACCTCCTCGTGGTAGCGGCGGGCCTGAGCAGTGTGTTCAGGTACGAAGTGTTCAGCAGTCACCAAGGTTCGAGACGTAGGCACGCCACAAGCGAGTGCCTTCAGCCTGACATCTCTCCAATTAGATGCTTGTTTTGCGCTCCAGTCATTCTCCCGGTGTGGAACTTGATTGTGTGCTTTCCATGGACGCCATTGCGTGGGCTTACCCATGCTTGCTGGAAGAGGTTCCCTTCCGTAGCTGTACGGCTGTCTGGACTTACCCACGGCCGGTGCTTTGATGATCCTGAGGTCGTCTGGCCTGTTCCCTCGCCGCTTAATTGGCTATGTGCCTTTTGCATTTGCATTGCCTGCCTTTGCATTTCTGCAGCGCTGTTTTGTTCAGGCGCCCGCCGACTGCATAATCCGTTTTGGATTGGATGCCTGCAACTCAGAAGAGCTTACGCGTTTGGCAGGTTGTTTGTTGTACGCAAGGCTCGTGCCTGGAGCCACCGCCGAATGGTTTACTGCGGATTGTATGTTTCCGCGGAGGGCCGGTTGTACATCGCTTTCCTTACGCTCGGCTTGACTTTCACTCGCGTGCCTGAGGCTCGCAAGGCTAGGGGCTCGAGGCTGCGTGACGGCCACTTCAGGGGCTTAGGCTTGTCCCGACGACCAAGCATTGGGACCCGATGCGCTGATCCGCTGCTTGGTGGTGCGTTGGCCTCTAAGGTCACTCGTCGTAAGCGAGAGGAGCGAGGACAAATCCAGCAGCTCCAAGCCTCTGTGCAGCGACTTCAAGCAACCATCTCGGCCATGCATGACGGAAGTACGGCTTGCTTTGTTGGTCGACGTAAACCGGCTAGACGTCGCCGTCCGAAGGCCCCCGCCACTACTTCCTTCGCTCCCTCTGAGCCTTCGCAAACCCTTTGGGCGCGTCTTCAGCCTCTCATGCTGTTGGGAGCGTCGGCTGCTGCGCCTCCCTCCGATGATGAGGTTCGGAAAGTCTTGCTGCGGCTCCTCGGTGCTGACCCGCCGGGTGCGCCGACGGCCCCAGCGGCACGGCCACCTAGCATGCCACGCAGCGCTCCCCAGCCTGATAAGCCAGTTAAGCCCCAAGCTCTACCCGCAACCTTTGCTGATGCTGTCCGCCAAGGTTTGTCTAATGCCCCTAAGCCTACACCTAAACAGCCCCCTAGGACTGCCGGTGACACGTTTGCCCGCCTCGCTGCCTCTGGTTGTGCTAAGCCTGCTAAAGCTGGGAAAAAGCCCCCCCTGGCGCAAGCTGGATGGAAATGCCAGGTCGTGACTGCCAACGCCATCCATCACCAGGCTACTGGACCCCGGGTAGTCACCGCGTACACTGCCGAGCAGCTTCAGGATGTGCTTAACTGGGCTTCGGCCTCTAAACCTGAGCACCCCACCACGTGCGCCGACTTCGTCTCTGAGGACACTACGCACAAAGTGTTGGTGCAGCTGCCTGGTGCCCCAAGCCTCTCTTTGCAAAAGGTTAAACTTCACCAGCTCACTGCTGACGGGCCGATGCCGGATGGGCTTGCTGTGAAATCGGAGTTCGATGACGACCGAGAGTTTGCAGGCACTTCCAAGGCCGACTGGAAAGTCTTCCGACTTACCTTAGTGCGTGAGTTTGCCGATGCTTCTCGTTTCGCTGATGGTTGCAACCGGCCTCAAGGCCTGCCTGGAATGATGCTGTCTCCGGCTTTGGCCTCCAAGGTTGTTCGCACTTTCGCTGTCGCGGTCTACGAGACTGAAGTGACGTGCTTGATCAAAGTTCGCATTGCTGACGCTGCGCTCTTTAATAAAGCCAAGCCTTGGCCCGGAGCTTTCTTGCAGGTTCAACGGGACCCCGATTCTCACATTGCGTGGTTTGCACGACGTGATGCCGAGACAACCGAACAATACTTTGCTCGCGTCAGTGCCGAGGCTGCTTCTGCCGAGGGCCGCTGTTTGGCCTACAGGCCTGGTGGACGTGCCAACTTGGGAGTGCGGTCAAGGTCCCAGCTCCCCAGCCTCGACGGGAGCATCGCCCCTCGATGGATTCTGTCCAATGCCCCTCAAGATTGGCTCACCGACGAAGTTTCCTCGTGGCTCGCCAACCACGGCTTTGCTTCACCCAGTCAGCTCCAACGTGCTGGACCTGCCGCCTGGTACTTCAGGGCTTGGCCTAAGGAAGGGGTTGGACTCGGTGTGTACGCCAACGGCTTTGTTGTGTCGCCTGCCTCAGGGGGCTCCTCCAAGAAAAAGAAGGCGCTTTCCACTGTTGGCCCGGTTTGGGGCGCTGGTTGTGCTAAGACTGGGGACTCCGCGGCCAAACCTCCTGCTGCTGTCGTCTCTCCCGCTGATGCCGCCACTAAAGAGGAGGATGCCGCCATGAAGGATGGAACTGAGACTGGTGCTCAAGAGAGGACGCGTTCCCGCTCCCGTGGGCGGCAGGCTTCTTCTCAGCCCAATACCCAGGAGCCGCAGTCAAGTGCTGCTCGTGCGCGGCCCCGCATGCCTCACGATAGCAAGTTCGATACCGTCGAGTGCGGCGGAGCCGGAGATTGCGCTTTCACTAGCATTGCCACGGCTTTGGCTCGCTGGGCTAACACCGGTGCCACGCCCAAGGACCTGGCCCCCGGTGGCAAACTGCAGGGTTGGCTCCGGTGCGAGGCCGCTAAGTTCATGCGTCAGAAGCGAGATGAGTTTGCGGACATCGGTAATCCCGATAGCATGGCTACTGCTGTTGCTCGAGCGGGCACTTGGGCCGACAGCCCTGCTATGTGCGCTTTGGCGGGCGCTCTTCGACTCCAGTTCCGTATCTGGGCGTTTGACTCGGTGCAGAATGTGTGGCGGCTGCATCTGGTCGGGCCGGACCCCGGCCGCAATGCCCCTAAGAAGCCTCGCAAAGCCTCTGCCCAGCCTGCGGTTGTATGGCTTGTGCTTGTTGATCGCCATTACCAGTGGCTTCGGCCCAAAGGCGATGACTGGATTCTTGAGGAGGCCGTCCCCGGAAACGCCATCAGAGTGCACAGCAGCGCCAATTTTGAGATCCTTCGCGGGGCGGGTAAGGCGAGCGCTGCCTCCAGCGCCTCTAGCCGGGCTGCTGGGCGCGGCTCAGGCGGCTCGTGTGCGCGGCTCCTTGGACTCCGTCGTTCGGCTTCTGGTGGTGCGTCGTGCAAGACCTCGGGAGCAAGTTCGTGCGCTCGTTTGCTGGGGATTCAGAACCCCCTGTCTGTTGCCAGTGCAGCTTCCTCTGCGCGCAAACTGCTGGGCCTGGGACGCCAGACTCGTGCCTCTGAGGCCTCTCTGTCCCCCGAGCAACTTCTGGGAGTCGAGGCTGCTGCTGCGGCTCATGAGCCTTACAAGAAAGGAGACCTCTATCTCTGCCCTTGCGGATGGCGGCCCGCTGAAGGCACCGGAGCCGACATGCGCCGCCGCGCTCAGTTGCATTGGAGACTCTGCCAGGGCACCGCGCCCCCCCGAGCCACTGATCAGGCTGTTCTCCAGAGACTCGCCCGTCAATCTGTTGCTAACTCCGAGGTCAGGCGGCAATCTGCTGTGCTTAAGTTTCAGAAGTGGCTTCGAAGCCTGTCCGGTAAGTGGCGGCGAGCAGCGTGTGATCCCAACCTGGATTGCCCTCAGACCATCTGCCGCGGCTCTGCCGCTGCCTCGCCCCGCGGGCCCAGTACCGAAAGCGGCTTCGTCTGCAGCAAGTGTGGGAAGTTGAAGACCTTATCTGCTTTCCGCCAACAACCCTGTGCGGCTCGCAGTGCAAAGCTTGGCATCGTCGGCCATGACTGGGTCGTCAAGATGCGTGGCGCCGAGGTTGCTCTTCGTCTTAAGGAGTCTCTGCGTACTTGTGCCAGGAAATGGCGGCGTACCGACAAAGGTCAGGCTGCTTCCAAGGCCCGCGAAGACAAGCGCCGTGGCACGCGAGACTGGTCCAGGCGCAACCGTAAGAGGTCTTGACTAGGTCCTGACCCTTTCCACGGCGGCAGTCACCCCAACGCGCCTGTTGGTCTTTCCGTCAACGTTACATGCCTCAGGAAAGAGCGGCTCCTGACAGTGTTAGATGAGGCTGCACGCGTTGGTGCAGACTTTGTCATGCTGCAAGAGACCCGGCATTGGGACAAGTGTTGCTGGGCTTCTAAGGTCGCTGAGCTACGGGGCTGGCGCGCTACTTTCAGCCCATCGCCCCCGCGCGGTCGTGGACAGAGTGGGCCCCGCCAAGGGGGCACGACAGTCCTCTGGCGTACTGATGCTCGATCTGCAAGTTTCCAAGTTGAGTTGCTTGAGGCTCTTCGGCATAGGGTTTGCGGTAGGGTTTTTAGTAACTTTGCTTTGGTTTCCTTTTACGGACCTGCAGACACCGCTGACCCGAACCTGCTGTCCGCGGTCCTGCGTGCAGCCTCCGAGTTGAACAGACCCACCTTTTTGCTGGGAGATTTCAATTGGAAAGGACGGTACGAGCAGCTGCTTGGCCCTTCTGGGGCTCGTCAGTTCCCGGTAGTGCCCACAGTCTTGAGGTCTCAAGCCTCCCCTTCTAGAGGGCTCGTTTTGGGGGATATCGGTTTAGACTTCGCCTCTGTGAGCACGTCGGCCTTACCCGGCATTCCTCACCACAAAGCTGTCTGTTTTCGGGGCGCTGTTTTGCCTAATAATAGTTTCCCCGAGCCTGCCTGCCGCACCCGGTTTAGGCGTACTAGTGCTTTCGAGTGGCTCATCCCTGACAAAATCCCAGATGAGTATACTCAACAGTTGCGCCAGGCGTCAGATGCACTGACAGCTGGCCCTGGCCTGGACCTGGCTTCACGTTTTCAGTGCTGGCACCGTAAGGCCGAAGCCTGTTGCGAGGTGGCCGTCCAGCTGGGGTTGGCCACTAAGACTCGGGCCGCTGAGAGGCCTAAAGGGTCTCAACCGACTGGTAGGCGCTGTTGTCAAGGCCCCAGTGTCCGTCAGGCCGAGCCTGTCGCTTTGCGTCGGTGGAAGCGGTTGCACCGAGCTGCGTTGGAACAGGCCCGCAGACACGGCGGGAACGCGGCTCTCACTGTTTCCCAGGCTAGGCATTGGCATGCCATACTTCCCTCGGGCGGTTCTCTTCCGCTTACGCAGGATGAAGCTCTGGAACGCGCCTCAGGCTACATTGCTTTAGAGGAAACAGCCGCTTCGCGGGCCAGGAAAGCACAGTGGAGGCGTCAGTTTACCGCTTCTGTCACGGAAGCCACTCGTGCTGCCTCTACGGTTCTTAAGCCGCAGCCCTGCCCCGACCCTAATGTAGATTCCCGTAGCATGTGCGCTGAATGGGAGCCTCGCTGGACGGCTCAGTTGCAGGCCCCAGGAAATGCTTGGCAGAGCGTGCTGCAGCGAGCTGGCGTGCAGCCCACTCCTCCCGGGGACTTTGCTAATGTGTCGGTCGAAGAGATGAGGACTGCCATCTCTGAAGGCGCGGGCGGAGCCGGCTTTGATGGATGGGCCGCGAAAGAGCTTCGGGGCCTTTGCACTTCCTGTGCGTGGCTCGTGGATGATCTGGTGTCGCTGTTTAATGAAACTCTGCAACATCAGAGCCCTGAGGTGCTCCAGGCTTGTCGCGACTCCGTTTTCGCCTGGCGCGTGGTCGGCATCCCTAAAAGAACAGAGGCGGCCACTCGTCCCATCGCCGTGGCCAGCTCTCTTGTGCGAGCCTTCAATCGTGCCATCCTCAAGCGATGTCCCGAGCCTCCTGAGGGCCAGCAGTGTGGAGTCTCTGGACAGTCTGCGGTCACGGCCACTCTTCAGTGGCTCGCCGTCCGGGCCCAGCGCGGCGCGGAGCTTGATCTCCGACGTGCATTTGACACCATTGATCACAGGCTTGCCGGATGCGCGGCCAGCACATATGGTGTGCATCCGGTGGTCATCCGATACCTGCAGCAGCTCGTTTGGTGTGCGCCTCGGTCCTGTGTGGTCGGCGGCGAACCCCCGCCACGCCGCATCCAGGCTACTTGCGGATTGCCTCAAGGAGACCCAGTTTCCCCACTCTTCCTCTCCTTCGTACTTGGCCCTTGGTTTAAAATCGTTTGTGCTTTGCCTGCCATTTCGGCATTTCTTTACATGGATGACAGAAGCCTCTTAGACTCCGGAGATAGGAATTCGCTGGAGCCGGCTCTTCGCCTTACCGAGTGGCACGATAACACTTTGGGCCTCCAAGAACATTTGGGCAAACGCCAGCAGTGGGCCATCGACGGGTCCTACGCTGCCAGAGCTGTCGAGCACCTTGGCCTCACTGCCACTCCTGGGGTTGATGTGCTGCCGAGCACGCGCGCTGGCCCTGATGATCTTAAAGCCTTGGCTAGCCAGCTGCAGTATTTGCCTGGTGCCATGGAGATGAAAGAGCGCCTTTTGGCAGCCTTCATTTTGCCAAAAATTTCTTGGGCTGCGCCGCTTATTCCTGCTGTTGAATTTTCCATCGTCAGGAGCTGCTTCCGCGCGATTCGTGGGCATGTGACCTGGTGGTGCCAGGGACGTGTGTGGGCTGACTGCATCAACCTGCATCCGCTGTTCGCTGCATGTTTCCGCTGCTTGCTTCAGGCTGAGGGACCCTACAGTAGCCTCCCTAATAGGACTCTCGCGGCCTGTGTCCAGCATGCTGCCGATTGCCTGCAGCTCACGGTCTGTGATGGCCCGGGATTTTGGCTTCAGCCTGCGCCTGGAGCTGACCGCCGGATTGTGCAGGCGGCTGCAAATGCGGCTAGGGCCTCAGGAGTCCGCAGGGGTACCACCTTCAAGCCTACGGCCGACGCCGGGCACACTCTCCGGGTTGCGGCCCGCGTGCAGGCACTTAGCACGTGCAATCGAGACAGGCTGGACGCCGAAGGAGTCGACGACGTCGACGTCCAAGCTCAAAGTCACGCCCTATGGAAGCGTTGGAAAGCTAGCCTTAACAAACTTGAGCGGAGTAAGCTCGCTGTCTGGCGGGGAGGTGCAACTCGCACTCGCACCCGTCGTCATTTTCAAGGACATCGCGTACAGCTCAGCCGCAGTCCCAGACTTTGCGCCTGCGAGTGGTGTCCCCATCCTGCCTCTTCGGCCAGGCACCTGTTTGCGGAATGCCCTCGCTTGCAAGCCGAGCGGAATGCAATAACTGCCGAGTTAGGTGAGCTCGCCCCTAATTGGTTTAGTTCCCTCCCCAGGGTCACCTGTAAGACTGGTTGGGTTTGCACCTCGGCTTCACCTGACCCTGAGGTCAGAGTAAAAATCCAAATCGCTTCTTGCCGTCTTGGGATTTGCATTGCTGAACTGGGGGCCACCGTGCCTGATTTTTGAGGATCTGGCCCTCCCAGTGCCGCTTTTGGGCTCCGTGGGCAGTTGCCCCGGCTGCTGCCCCCGTGGCTCGATTGGTGAGCGACGTCGCTGGATCATTATTTGCTTCAAGTTTTATCTAAGCCTAGGCTCTTGCCTTGCCTGGTTTTTCCCAGGCTCTCGACGGGGACTGACGTCCCGTGCAGTTCAACCCCGTGGCAGGTTACTGCATTCCAATCACAACCGTGAAATATGCGATTCCCATTATCATGGGAGCAAACATCGGTACGAGCGTCACCAACACCATTGTGTCCATGGCACATGCTGGCGAGCGTTTGGAGCTCGAGCGTGCTTTCTCTGGTGCGACAGTCCATGACATGTTTAACATGCTGAGTGTGGCTGTGATGCTCCCAGAGGAGGTCATCCTGGGGGCCATCACAGGG